CCCCAAAACCCCAAAACCCCAAAACCCCAAAACCCCAAAACCCCAAAACCCCTTATTCATCAATAATAGTTGTAACTCATGAAGTGAACTTTAGTATAAAATTTTGTCATCCAAAAACTCATACTGGGGAGAAGTCTTAACAGGTACCGTTCTGGAGGTCTTATTATTAACATTCAGCTGATCGAGCTTCTGCTTAATCTCATTATATTGGGAATCAGCCCCCATTAATGCACTTGCAGCTCCAGTATCGTTGTTATTGATAATATCTTTATAAAGTTCAAGCCCAGTTACAATCTGAGTTGTTAGACTTGAAGTATCTGCTGATGGAGGAAGAACCACTACTTTACTATCTGTCATAATCTTATTCATAGCTTCCAAATATTTTTCAGTAAGCTTGAGCTTAAGTGATACCATTCCATCATCATTTTTAACAGACTTTGAGATAGTCTCCAAGGCTGCAATGATAGCTCTTGCTTCTTGAAATGTCTTCCTAGCATCTCCCTCTGCCTTCAGAATGGCAGCTGATTTTTCTCCTTCTGCAATGTTCATAATAGCTTGTCTTTCACCTTCACTGTTTAAAATTGCACTTCTCTTCATTCTTTCACTTTCAGCTTGGAGCTCCATTGATCTACTGATTTCTTCAGGAGGTTGGATATCCTTGATCTCATATCTCATGCATTCAATTCCCCACATCTCACTAGCATGGCTAAGGGTTTCCTTAATCCTTGTATTAAGGTTCTCTCTTTCTTCGAAGGTTCTATCCAACTCAATGACTCCTATCTCACTTCTCATACTTGTTTGTGCAAGCAAGGAAAGAGCAATAATGGGGTTCTTCACATTATAAGATGCTTTCTTGGCATCAGTGAATTTGTAGTACAAGACTCCATCAATTTTAAGCTTTACGTTATCCTTTGTGATAGCATTCTGGCTATCAACATTAATAACCTGTTCTTTAAAGTTATGCCTATAAGCGACCATGTCTATAATAGGGATTTTAAGGTTGATTCCTGGCTCTAGAACTTTTGCGAATCTGCCGAATCTCTCCAGCACAAACTTATTCTGCTGTGGAACGAGTACCCAAGGGAGCATCATTTGTATCTAAGTTAGATTTGAAAATATTTTAACAAGAGCTTTAATTTGGGGTTTTGGGGTTTTGGGGTTTTGGGGTTTTGGGGTTTTGGGG